CGCACCCACTTCATGAGCCGCCCGCAGGCATCCTACTACCTCGCTGGCTGCCTTTATCCCCGAGGACGGCGGGCTGGTTCTGATAATCTCGGAGTTAGCACTGGGGTTTGAGAGCATCCTGCGGTGACTCAGTGGCTGAACCCTCCCCTTCCCTTCCCGAGGCTGTGGTCAGGCACCGCGGCTCCACCTCCAGCAGGTGCTCCCCAAGGAGCTGCCTCCAGCCACGCCTGAGAGCGGGCCAGCACCCGGAGAGCAGGGCGGCGCCCCAGTGGGGTTGGTACCCCCGAGGGCGGGGCTGCGCTTAGCGTGGGCCAACCCGAGCCCCCCATCTTCCCCACACTCCCCCCTTCCCCCTGAACTCCTGTTACAGAGATGTCCCGGGTGCCAGGAAGTCCAATTCAGCTGCAATGTGAGTCCTGAGCTTGGACTCCAGGGGGAGGAGGGGGTTGGGCCCAGCACTGAGAACCCAGCCTCCGCATACGTTCAGGCCCTGGGTGATTCTACCAACCTCCTGCCCTCAGCCCAGGGAGCAAGCGTGAGCCTGGGGCACAGCTGTGCTTCCTGTGGGTCTAGGCTGGGCCCCAAGGGTATGACTAGGGCCCTGGAGCCAGTAGCTGCAGGCCTGCTGGGAACTCTCAGGCCCTCACAGACGGGAGGGAAGGGGGGGGGGGCTCTGTGCGCTCAAGGAGGCTGCCTGAGCTTCCACCGCCCAGGGCCCGGCAGGTCCAGACCTGTCCCGTCTTTGACCAGGCTCTGGCCCTGAGTCCCGCCCTCCAGCCGGCCCAGCAGCTCTGCACACAACAGTGAACGGTGGGTTTCACCCGCCGGCACAGACGCGTGGGCCGACAGCTGGCTGCGAGCGCCAAGCCCTGCGTGTCACCCCCCAACCCCCGTGCGCTGCGTTCACGGTGACAGAGGGACGGAGGGACAGACGGAGGACAGCTGGGGGAGCCCAGGACAGATTCCTCCCCCGCGTGCTTGGCAGAGGTTCCCTCTGGGGTGCGCAGGAGGGATGCAAAGTGCGCTGGTTTGAGTACATCTTCCCTCTGGGATATTAAAGATGTAAACGCCCTGTTCCCACAGAGAAGCTGTGAGTCCAAACGTTAACACTGATCACAGATTAACAGAGCGAGGATGGGAGCTGGGTGGGGGGAGGGGGCGGGGTCTCAGGGCCGAGGCTGCGGAAACAAGAGCCCCTGACGACCAAGCAGGACCCTGAGCCCCACAGCAGGCCCGCCGCCCGGCCTGCTCGCGTTTGCTCACCTCGGTTCAGTCGCTTCCATCGTGGTCTCGGGGAGCGCTCACATGCTCCCGCGACAGACAGAGCATGGCTCTTCCTGGGAAAACAGACTCCTGTCTTCAATGGAGTGAGACGCCAGCTGGGAGCGCGGCCACGGACTTCAGTCACAGCACAGGCCCCGTGAAGCGCATGCGCCCGCTGCCGGAGGGCAAGCAGTTAGGCAATGATCACACACACACACAACCACACACACAACCACACACACACACACAACCACACAACCACACACACACACACACACTCACACACCCACACACACAACCACACAACCACACACACACACACACCCACCCACACACACACAACCACACACACACCCACAACCACACACACACACACACACTCACACACCCACACACACAACCACACAACCACACACACACACACACCCACCCACACACACACAACCACACACACACCCACAACCACACACACACACACACACTCACACACCCACACACACAACCACACAACCACACACACACACACACCCACCCACACACACACAACCACACACACACCCACAACCACACACACACACACACACTCACACACCCACACACACAACCACACAACCACACACACACACACACCCACCCACACACACACAACCACACACACACCCACAACCACACACACACACACACACTCACACACCCACACACACAACCACACAACCACACACACACACACACCCACCCACACACACACAACCACACACACACCCACAACCACACACACACACACACACTCACACACCCACACACACAACCACACAACCACACACACACACACACCCACCCACACACACACAACCACACACACACCCACAACCACACACACACACACACACTCACACACCCACACACACAACCACACAACCACACACACACACACACCCACCCACACACACACAACCACACACACACCCACAACCACACACACACACACACACTCACACACCCACACACACAACCACACAACCACACACACACACACACCCACCCACACACACACAACCACACACACACCCACAACCACACACACACACACACACTCACACACCCACACACACAACCACACAACCACACACACACACACACCCACCCACACACACACAACCACACACACACCCACAACCACACACACACACACACACTCACACACCCACACACACAACCACACAACCACACACACACACACACCCACCCACACACACACAACCACACACACAACCACACACACACTCACACACACACACACACACAAACCACACAGTTGTAATAAAAAGTTAGCCCTCTGTCTTCATGGTTTTGTTTATTATTTAAATATATATATATATTTACTGATTTCAGAGAGGATGGGAGAGGGAGAGAGAGAAACATCAATGATGAGAATCAGTGACTGGCTGCCTCCTGCACACCCCCACGGGGATCGAGCAGGCCCTGCCTGCAGGAGGGTGGGAAGCCCAGGAGCCGCTCTGGCCTCCAGAAGGGAAGGACTCAGCAGGCGGAGCTGAGCGCAGACAAACAGACAAAGGAGCTCCAGGAGATGCAGCGAAGGGGGAGGAGCAGGGAGGGAAGCTGGAGAGCTGGGCCTCTCCTTCATGGGCGAGGAGCTCTGAGCATGGGGCGGGTCTGAGTCAGTTCCTTCCCCTGAGACCAGAGACGTCAGGCCTGAGGTGGAAGGGCCTCGGCCGCAGGGGGCAAAGCCACAGGAAGGAGGCAGCGAGCACCTGCCAGCGTCAGGCTTGGGCAGCAACCCGTTTCCAACAGGCAGAGATCAATTTCTTTTCAAAACGACAGCAACGTTCCTGGACATGTACCCAGACCAACCACCGCCCAGCGCCCACTCCTGCCTCCACTGGGAACGCGCGGGGCTCTGGCGGCAGCGCCAGGGATGGCATCTTCACGCCTCAGTGTGAACGTGCCCTCAGGAGCTGGGGGCACTGCCTGGCGATGGGCCCGCTGGCTGGTCCGTCCCAGACGCGGGGCCTGCGACACCTCCCGAGCCTCTGCGGGCGCCTCTCCCCCAGGGGACGCTCTCCAGAGGAATGACCGGGAGGGGCTGGGTGTCTTGCTTCCAGGCACCGGCTGGAGAGACCTGCCCAGGAGGAACCAGGTGCAAGAGGAGGAGAGGAGTTTGCACGCTGCCTTCGGAGCCCCCTGGGAGGTGTCCTCTAGGGCAGGGGTGGCCCCTGCTGGTCCGCGAGGTCCGAAGACCTGGTGACCGCTGGCCCAGGCCCATGTTCTTACCGGTTTCTGCCTGAGGACCTATCGCCGTGGTTACACTGAATCCACAGACCAACCTGAGAACTGCCGCTATCAATGTCGACTTCTAAAGCACGAACGCGGTGCATTTCTCCATTTATCTAGATCTGTAACCTCTTAGCATGGTTTCAGTACTTTCGTTAAATTTATTCCTATTTTAGTTTATTTTTAGATCCCATTATAAACTAATTGTATTTTTCCATTTTCAAATTGTTTATTGATTATATAGAAATACAATTAACTTAGTTTGGAATATTGGCTTTTATGTCCTGTAATCTTAAAGACTATGTTTTCTTTGACTCCTTATATATTTACATATAGTGACATGTGACCTGAGAATAGTCTTACTCTTCATTTCTAATCTCCGTTCTCTCCTGTCTTCTTCTCTGGTGGGATCTGAGGAGCGATGGTGAAAGCTGGCACCGGGGGGAACCGTAGAGACCAGGCC